TATCAAAAGGAGATAATACTGTAAATGATTTTCGACTTGATTCGAACGAGCCGGGAATAAGCAATATAAAAGATAATCGATTTAAAGCCGTAACAATATCAAATTAATATACAATAAGCAAAATTACCAGCACATTCGGACGACATGTTGCTACCCCCTTTTTTTTTTTTTTTAATTTTTGCAGTGCTGTGATGTATTTGTTATGCTCGTCTCTAGGAATCTGAGTCCCATTTATAGGATCAGAGACGTCTATGTCAGTGTCGGTGTAGTAGGTGAGAGCTTTGCAGATTCAAAGTCGAAAACCTTGACTAACGGGTTTGAAATACCTCCTTCGACATTTATAAACATATGGATAAGCTTTGACAAGTTATACCGCTTTTCTTTGAAAATTTATAGTCAATATTCAGATAAAAATAGACCATCAGTACTAGTAGAATTATATATTAGATTGGGTGGTCACGGTTCCTGATTGATGTTCTTACAAGTAATTTTATTTTTGAAATTTTCCTCATACCCATCAACAACAAGATAAAATTTCAAAAGCATATATAATATGTTGAAAGAAAATGAAGAAATATTATCACTGCAGGTCACTTTCCTCATCTTTAATTTTAGTATAGGACACATTGTTATACAAACACTTTTCACATCAACTCACTCTGATTCTTGTTCTGTCTCAACTATTCCTTTCTCTTATCGTTACATTCTAATCTTAAGACTGCAAAATAAAAAAAATAGTTTTTGTACAGTTGGCAGGTTTTTGTCCCAACCATTGATATAAAAAGAAAGAATTACACTGAGAGGCAGTTTTATGTTTTTATTAACACAATAGGTCAGTTTGTTATACTAGGACACTTTTCTCTCTCTTCTTCCATGATTCCTAACTAAATCAGTTACTCACTAGTTAAAGCATAATCATTTCACGTTTTTCTTCCTCATATCTTTTTTTTTAATTTTTCAATAATTGGATCTAAAAATAAATTTCACTTGCTTTTTTCATATCTTAGATTTCTTATACTTCATATGTTTTATCTGCAAATAAATTCTTTTGATTCATACCTCAAAAGCATTCCCCCTCCACGACTGAAAATTGTAATCTTAATCAACTCTGTTTTCATCTCTGAACAGATGTCATTTCTTCTCCAACGAAAGTTTCTTTGTCGACAACCTCAAACCACATGCTCCATTCCAATATCTCTACCGCCGTCGTTGATAAGCTCGAACCTAAGTTGTGACCACCAGATTCGTCGTGGCTTTAATTACAAATTGAAGAGAAAGCTTAACCTGTACAACAATGGTGACTTTTTAATTATTTACACATCTGGTCCTCCAACTCTTTTTTATTCTCGAATTTGTTTTAAATTTCTGTTTTGTTCAATTTTATTCACGAATTTGTCCCAAAATTTTTAATTGTGCAATTCAAACCAAACGAATATTCAGATTTTGAAACATTGATTCCTACCATTTTGTTTTATTTTCGCTTATAGCTAAGATGTTTTATTTGAAAATATCATTAAAGCAAACCCAAAATTTCAAAAGTAATTCAATGATTTTGGAGACAATGTATTATGGATGACTAGTATAAATGGTCTATAAGAAGTAGCAAATTTTCATTTTTATCGTATGTGATAACTTGAGTAATTTCTAAATGTACACATGTGATTTTCTTTTTTTTGAGCAACTAACTAAAAATTATTAAAATCATTATCACAGCCTGAGCAATGTACAAATAAATCAGTGTACATATTTTTTGTAAATTGATACTGCTCTAGGTTGGAAGGCCTACATGTTTATTGCTTGTGTACATAGAAATAGTGAAATTATCTGATATTCATATATTATTGTACAAGTTAATCAATATACATATGAACTATTGTACACGTGGATGATGGAGTATTTTATGTACACGATATAGTGTACACATCAAATGGCTTTTACAATTGCTATACTTGAGTTTATGGATTTGGAATTATAAGTGAGACATGATTCAAATATATATGTACACCAAGAATATACAATATTGTACATGTGTACATCATATAGTGTACATGTGTACATCCATAATTGTACACCAAAGAAAAAGTAAGAAATATAACACATATGCTATCAAGATCTAAAATAAGCCTCATTCACAACAATGAAAACCTTTTTTATTTACGTAAATCTATCTTCTGAAGCTAGTAGTCGTAGTCTTTTTCACTATAAAATAATCGTGTACCCTATATAACCATTTATTGCAGAGATTATAGTGGGATTTGTTTCTAATTTAAGACTAAGCGCTAAGGCTAATTTATATGGCTGAGGTATATTAAATTGTTTGTGTGTTTGTTTTAATCCCATTTATTTGTGACTATCTTATTAATGTGCAAGAAAATTTGCTAGTGATGTTGTACTTTCACAAGCTTCACTTCAATTCATTAATGGTGCTAATAGACTAGTCACTAAGTGTTGTTTAATATGTATTTTCTTTTTCTTGACGAGAATGTACATTTGGACATTGATAATGAAGGTCATCTTATCTCATTATGTACAATGATAATGAAGAAAACAAATCAATAAATCAGGGGGTACTGCTCTAGGTTGGAAAACTTATATGCTTGATGTTTATGTACATAAAAGTAGTAAAATTATCTGATATTCGTATATTATTGTACATGTTAAATAATGTACATGTGGATAATGAAATAGTGTACATATGAATTATTGCACATATCAACATTGTTCTCTTTGTCTTTTATTATAGTGTATATGTCTATATGCACATTTGTCTCTGTCCATGTGCACATTTACCTCATAATGTACATGTCTCATAGTGTAAGTATGCATTTTTGATGCATTTGTGCATTTGTGAAACATAACATATTTGGTTCACAAGTGAACTAATGAACATGTAAGCTTTTGGGAATCCATGTACATGTAGACAATGAAAATTACGTATACATGTTTACAATTATTTTTGGTACACATGTACGCCACAATTTTTAATGTATACATGTACACGCACGGAAGGGCACTTTTGTAATTTTGCATATAGTCTTCTTCATCTCACTTCATTTTCTACATAGTTTGCAGCTTTTTTTGCTTTCAGACATAAATCACCATTTTTGGACGATTTACTTTGATCCAGCCTCGTTTCTTTATTATTACCACTCAAATATGATAGATCCTTGATATAACATCAGATTTTGGACACAAATTACCATAATAGTGATGATTTTGAACTGAGTTTGTGGCCGAGTATACTAAACTCGCAGCGGCGAAATCTAAATGATTTGGTCATGTTGGCCAAAATGGAAGACGACAATAGTGAATATTGCTTGAGAAGAAGATAAGCCATCATAGATGATAAATCTAAAAAAAAACAAAAAAAAAACAAAAAAATCAAACAAATAAAGTTCACTGCTTTCTACGTTTTTCTGGGTTTCAAATTTTAAGAAATTTAATACAAAAAGAAAAAAAAAATCTTGTAGTTACGTTTAGTTATGGACACGGATAACAAAAAATCTAACTAGATACAAAAGAATGACAAAAATGGGTTTATGATTACACTTTTCTAGGGTCAACCATGTCTTTAACCACAAAAAACTACCCTAGTAGCACAAACTGCTCTTTTGTGTAATAAAAACTTAAAAACTGTCTTACAGTGTAAAAAACTCATATAAAAACACATCCTATGGCTAGGATTTAATACTGCAGATATGGATAAGACATATAGATTCCTTTAACCACAACATTCGATTAAATCCTTTTCTTTTTGATGGCTCAGATCAAGCATCACTTATCCACTTTCACCTCTCTCCTACATTCCATCTCTTCTTTTTTGGTTCTTCTTCAGTGTAAAGTAAAAAAACAAATCTCATCTTCCCATTTATCAGAACCGTAGAAACTGCCATTTACCCCATAATTTTCTAAATAGTTGTTATAGTGAAATTTAACAACAAGGGAAGAAGAGAATCTGGACCTAAGAAGAATGGAAGTGCAAAAATGTTTATCTTTGTAAGTGTCGGTCTTGTTCATGGAGGTACTCGAGAAGCTATACCGTGAAAATGTTCTACTCTAATAAGGATTAGATGTTAATGTTCTACTCAGCTAACTTTATGTACATCTTCATTTATGTACATGCATTTGCAATGTACATGAGGATATTGTTGTTTTTGTATACGTGTTTACAATGTACGACGTACAGATGTACATCGTTGTTTTTGTACGCGCTTACCCTTTAACCATAGGTGAAAACTTGTGTACACGTCTTCTTCTTATGTACATCTTACGACGAATGATGTCCATATGTACATCTTCATTTCTGTACATGCATAGTAATGTATATATATGAAAATTTGTGTTTTCGTACACACGTTTACAACGTACAATGTATTTGGAAATCGTTGTTTGTGTACACATATACTCCTTACCATATTGGAAAGTTTGTCTACATGTTTTCTTCTTATGTACATCTTATGATGAATGATGTTCATATGTACAGTGTACGCTAAATGATGTCCTAAGGGAGCCTCATAACATGAATGATGTTAACGTGGACATGTTCCTTTGTTACCTTCTATTTCTATTAGTTTTCCTTGCTAAATTTACCAATACAAATCTAACACAATATTCCTACATACATCTGTATCTTATAATAAATAAATGTTTCAAAAGACCTATCCTCAAAAGAGAAAATAACATAAAGGTTTTCATCCTCTCACCTAACTACTATCTTCATACTCCGACCGTGTACATTTTGTAAACGTATCTCAGGCTATCCATGTGTACAATCATTCTTCTTTGTACGCATGTACACATTACCGTGACATACATAGCACACACAACCACACTTCAACCATGCTTCACCTGACAAGGAGTATACATTCAAGAACCAAAATTAGCAGCCACGTATTTTATACACAGATTTGACTTCTCAAAGGAGTAGCATGTACATTTTTGCTGCTGAACTGTCCATGTATATAATCTTGCTTTCTTTGTATGTGTGTACACATTATCATGTTAAACATACCACACACGGATTTGAATCCACCTGAAATATTGTAGAAATTCAAGAGCCCATACAAGTCAAACATAGCACACATGGATTTAAATTCCTAAAATCAGTGGCCATCACATTTTGCTCTAATGCTACTCGATGTCCACG